TTCAATGGTGATTGAAGCTTCCCCAAGGGTGGACAAGGCATCAACTTTGACATTTTCCTTTCGGGTTATCTGAATGACTTTTTATTCTCAATTGACCAAGAAAAGAAGTAACTTTGTTCAGGCATTGCATCATCCAGGAGCCTCTCTCCTCTTAGGTCCTGAACTTGATTCACCACTAGCTCCGATCTACTTTTCAATTCAATATGTACTGCTCCTAGCTCTTTGGCTAGTTCAAGACCTGTGATCATTGCCTCATATCCTATTGCATTATTAGTTACTTTATAAAATAGCATTTAATAGCTTGACGTACCTTTTCTTCAATGGGAGTGTAACTATGATGCCTAACTCAGACCCTTTGGCGTTTGATGAGCCATTTGTGTACAAGTTCTAGAGTATTGGGGTTGTCTTGAAAGCTATAATTATACTCACACTAAAGTCGACAAAGAAGTCGGTTAGGACTTGTAATTTAATAGTGGTGCAAGGTTGATATATTATATAAAATGCACTTGGTTCGACTGCATATTTAGCAAGCCGTCCGGAGAGTTCCGACTTATGAATAATATTTCGTAGTAGGAAGGTGGTCACCACGGAAATAGAATGACACTGAAAATAAGGCCTTAGTTTCTAAGAGGCCACTATGAGGGCTAAAGACAACTTTTCTAGGTGTACCTAGTTTTGGCATCTATAAATGCCTTACTAACATATTAAATTAGAAATTGCGTACTTTTATTCTCTCACACCAGTACAGTACATACAACGATTTCTAATATGGCTAAATACACTGGTAGTTGTTCTCCCCGATGGGGCATGGACAAAAGTAGTGGGTTTGATAGGTACTTCTTCAGGTCCCGTACTGCTTGTTGACACTCGGGGTCTAGACGGAATCTTTGTTCCTCTTTAGTGCTGCGAAGATTTTGCAACAACTTTTTGAGGAACGGGATATGAACCGACCAAGTGTTGCTATTTTCCAGTCAGCCTCATTGCCTATTTCTATTATTTAGTGCTTTTGGGATTTCCTCAATGGATTTTATCTGCACATGCTTTGCTTATATATTTTGTCTCCCGAATGAATCCATTATTCAACAATTTGGCTACCTCTTTTTCTACAGTTTTATTCTATTCTAGTATAGTGTTTCTTTTTTCTGTTTGACCGGACCACAATTCAGGTTGATATTCAATTTGTATGTCATTATCTCGGGTGTCATCCCCTTCATGTCTACATGAGACTAAGTAAAACGATATGCGTTATCATGTAAAAATTCAATTAACTTACGTGTTTTATTGGGGGTCAGCCCCAAACCAATGTAGAACTTCCTGTCTTGTCGTTGGATGAATAAAATCATTTCTTTCAACTCTTCGATAGTCGAATATGCAGAATTAGTCCTTTTCGTTTCGACGATTCGATCCTCGAGAGCCGATTCGTTTTGCTCTGGAACATACTATTGTAGTTGCTATTTGTCTACTTCCCCTTTGGGAAGGGAATTGGCAGCTACAATTGAATTAACATTCTGGTAGTTTTTTCTCTCCTCGGATCTCTCTAATTCCCCATGATGAAAGGAATTTTTATTTCTTGGTGTAGTGTTGATGGTACTGCATACATGTCGTGTACTCATGGTCTTTCTAGGATAGTGTTGTAGACCATATCTCTGGCCACCACTTGGAATAGGGTCTCCTTGGTTACCCTTTTGCAAAGGTTGTCAGAGTGATCTCGCCTTTAGTCATCTCTAGAGTTATTGAATTCAGAGAGTAGTAATGCTTTTGGGATGATCTGACTGAAATTTCTCAACGACTCACATTTGGATGATGTTGGTCGAACTACCTGGATCCATTAATACATGTCTAACATCAGTGTCAACAATTCACGTAGTAATTATCAGGCTATCGTTATGTGGCATGATCAGCCCATCTACATCTTCATCATTGAAAGTGATTTCTTCTCCGACCAGGATCTGCCGGATGCACTTTTCGTGGGTAATAGTATTTTTGATGGATTCTTCGAGGTTCTATATGTAACATTGTTCACCGCTTTACCTCCAAATATGATATTAACCACCCATATTGGAGACAGACTTTGGAGCGGTTCTTCATTATTCTTGTTCTTCATATAGGATTTCTTGTCCTTTTCTTTGAAAAGTTCCATAAGGTAACCCATTTTCTAGAGACGAACCACCTCGCATTGTAGGGCCTTGCATTATGTGGTTTTATGTCCATGATCGTCGTGGAATTCACACCAACGGTCCTAGCTTCTTTTGCTGGATCTGTCCTTATTTTCTTCGGCCACCTCACTTTGTCTCCCATGTCTCGGAGTACTTCTACTGATTTTGTAGTGTTGATGCTGAAGTTATAGTCGCCAACTGCGGTCTAGGTTAATGTTCATTGATTTAATATGTTTTCGGTTCCTTTCTTTCTCGATGAGGTACCACATCATTCCTCCACCCGAAGTTTCTATCATATCGACTTGATCTCAGCCTTCGATCATTTTCTCAATGCATGGATCTGGAATAAGGTTCACACCGGATCTTGGAGTCTCGTGTTTGGGCTCGTCTCGTCTATGAACTACTTCGGGCCGGCAATTGCATCCGATCATCTCCTTTCCTTCAAATCTTGGGAGTGCTGAAATAACATCTTCTATTCGAAACTTAGTGATGTACCTATGGTACATATCATTCCATGTTTTGGCCAAAAACTCTTGTGGGCTCTCCTTTAGTTTCTTTGAGGCTTCTAAACTGTTTGGATTCAAGTTTCTTGTGAAAGCCAGAGCTGCCTAATTATTTGGAACCTCGGGAAGCAACATACTCTCCCTTTGAAATCAATCGATGAAGTCTCGTAGCGACTCTGTTCTTCCTTGTAGGACTTTGATGATGTCTTTCACTTGCTTCGCCACCTTTTAGCCTCCAGAGTGTGCTTTGATGAAGGCATCTGCAAGTTCAGCAAGAGAACTAATGCAATTTTCAGGTAAATAGGAATACCAGGTTAAAGCTCCCTTTGTTAGGGTTTCTCCGAATTTCTTGACAAACATTAATCTGATTTCTTACTTCATGGAGTCATTCCCTTTGATTCCGATCGTGTAAGTAATGACTTGGTCGCACGGGTCTCAAGTTATTTCATATTTCAGAATGTCTGGCATTTTGAACTTCTCAAGGTAGTAGGGTCGCGTTTGATTTCCATGGTTGCTGAGAGTACTTGTTTATGTCGATTCCCTTGATAATGGGCAGAACTCCCAGGATCTGCTTGATCCTTTTGTTCTGTTCCTTAACCTGTTGTTATAGCGTTAGTATTAAACTTTATAATTTGGCATTCTTGAGTGTACCTGACCCTCCGGCTTCTGAACCGTTAGTAATTCTGGAAGCCTTCAACATGGTTAGGGGTATTCGTGGCCAGAGTCTTTCCTATTTGAGGGGTTGGTGTATTGCTACGGTTGATCCAAGGAATTCCTTCGAGATGATGCCCCTCAAAAATTTTGTGGCGAGGATTTGCCATTTATTCGGCGAAGTTGTGGGTTGGGAAGTCCGTATTGAAGGGCAGATCTTTGTGTTGTGACTCGTCTTTGTGTAGTAGAGCTCCTTTTCCTGATGTTGCATCTTTGCTAACCGGTACCTCCTTACCCGTAGGTAGGACCTGCTTTCCTTGGGGATTTATAGAGTCCTTCAGTTGTCCATCAAGTTGTGGTGTCATGCTCTGATTAGTTGGCTGAGCGTTCTTTCCAGTTATTCTAAGTTACAAAATAGAAAGGAAATTGACAAATTAGAAACAAGCCTTTTAATGAGAACAAACAACAAGAGATTTGAGTCAAACGCTCAATTGTTAAGGCCCCACGCTGGGCAGCAAACTGTTTAACCTAAAAATAATTTTGGAATAACCAGAGCTGTCTTTGGAATGTTTCACCAAGGCACTGCTTCCATCTCCCCAGAAAGGAACTACGGGGTGAAGATATTTCTTGTGAGGGCAAACTTCTACTATTCATTCATCCCCTGGAATGACACTTATCCCAAGTTGCATTGTGTCGCCACGTAAACTATCCACGTGTCAAAGTTAGATTTTACTTATACAGCTACTGCTTTTTATTTTGCTTAAACAACTTTATATGAGGTTGTGTTTTTTCTCATACCTGGCTAATCGATTTTTCGTAGTTCATCTCCCCTTTGTCGTTGACTTTCTTTTCCATGTCTTCGCTACTTCGTCTGACAAATTTATTCTTTTAATTAAGCCGAATCATAAGTAAAGCTTTGATGAACTGACTCACGTGTAAAGATTTTTAGCCAGTTTTTTATACCCTTATAGCTTTCGTTTGTCTATTAAGTGTCACTTTGTGACATCCAACGAGAGATGAGAGATCATAAGTTGGATCTTTGGCCTAAAATGCTGCAAAATATATTAAACCAACATTTGCTTAAATTCAATTGGTTATTTATAATTAGCAGACCTAATTGTGATGCATAAGTCAGATTGTTCTGTCAATCTGTTGGAATTGGCTAGTTTCGTAATTGTTCTTAATGGTAAGATACAAATCTCTTGTGCCGATGAGGCATATAAGAGCAAAAGAATTTATCGTTATTTTTACTCACAAGTTCTGTTAAACGTTACATGGTAAAAGGTATATTATATCTCATTCTCATGAATATAGGTGTAACTGAATCTGACGTTCATCAATCTTTTCGTTAATCTTTGTCACCTGAAGCCAAATGCGATTGTTAGTTTCTGCTACTACAGCGTTCCATCTTTGATTTTTCTCTTTACCTTCTTGTTCTTGAGTTCTTTTTCATTCTTCAGTTCCCTATCTTTCGAAGTCTTTGCGACCAGTGTCATATTAAATTGTGATTGGTAGCTTCTTATCCTTCTTCGTCCTTTGACTCCCAACTCATACCGATTGTAGTCTTTAGGTGCTTTTCTATCTTTCCAAGAGGGCTAAAGTAATAAATCTAAAAATGCACAAATGCAGAGCATGACATGCTATTTTTCACAATGGGTTTTATATTACTTATTCGGGTTTTGGAGATAGGTTTTGTGCAAAATTAAAAAGCATACTATAGCTATAAAAACTTCCATCATCTGGTGTGGAACATAAACTGTTCGAACTCTAAAAGTGTCAGGAACTCATCAAGAAAAATTATGCCTTGCAAATCATAAGTTTGCTATAAAATGGTAACAGAAGTAGTAACTGAAAAAAATGGTGACTACAAGAAAGGCCTTTCAGCCATAACCTTACTGCTGTTGCTCTTTCACATCAACCGTATCTTCTCCCTCAACAGATAAGGATGCCCCTTGCGATGTTGCCATACCCAAGACCTCTCCAGGTGGTGGATGGTCAAACTTGCATGTCGCCCCATACTTGCACATTCCAGTCTTCATATAGTATGGACAGTGTACAGCGCCCTGCATGTATCATCACAAAAAATTAAAGGAAGAAAATCTTATACTTGCATTCCCAACAGACCTAGTAAATGAGAAAAGTTAGATCGAATTCAAAGAATAACAGCCATCAACTAAAGTTGAAGCGTTAAGTTTATATGCCCTGTTAAGAATGGACAGGGGGGATGGAAATAAAATGCAAATGTACATATCTGTACAGAAATTTAGTATTCTGTGAGGGGTTTTCACTGATCAGAAGATATTCAAAACACACAACCATTGGGTCCAGTCTGATACCTGTAAGAGGATGCACCAATAGGAATTATGCGGAAGTCTGTTTTTTTCAGCGGAAGTCTGTTTTTTTTAGCGGAAGTCTGTTTTTTTTAGCGGAAGTCTTACATCTGTCATAGTTTACTATAAACAGTTATCCAATGTACGGTGTTATCGTGTTATTTGCCAATGCTTATGAAGATCTAACCAACACATTTTTTTGAGGTTATTAAACACCACCAAGAAGAATCAGGTTATCAGAAAATTTACATAGTGCCTTGAAATACTTCGCCCACTAGAAAATGAACATGTCATATTTAGGGTTTAGAAAGTAAAAGGTTAATAAGGTACCTCCCTCCTTGGTAGACCAGCAAGAGTGAGCTTAACATTTGGCTGCTGCACATCCTTTGCTGACACTACTGGTGCTGAACGATCAAGAGGGTGATGAAACTTGCATCTTTCACCAAACTTGCATTCCCCAGTTTTCATATAGAACTGATGGACAACATGACAGACCAAGCAAGATGTGCAAAAGAAAGATAGTGAATTACTAGATCCAAGTATACTAAGAATATCAGAAGAGAAATTCATGGCTGATTTAGATAATAGTATAGCAACTAGAATAAGAAACTCATTCAACACTACAGGTAGCTCCCTATAGTATCTACTGTGTATACGTTATGTGTATATGTATGCATACTGTAAGTCAACTTTTAAAAAGGCATAGATGAGGGCCTAATAACATGCACTTGTCCTTAGAAGTAATAAATTTAAAAGTCAACAAGAGGTAAGAACAATGCTACATTTACTAGACTCCAGATGGCATCCGATATAGGTGGTACTGCAAATTGTGTTCATGTTTTGAAAGGTTTACCATGCCCTTTTTAGGATTGATACAATGTACTTCCGAGCTTTTGGCAAAGGTAGGTGAATTCAACATTCCTTTTCGGGATACGGGTAAGGTCTGCGTACACTCTACTCTTCCCAGACCCCACTAGTGGGATTTTACTGGGTATGTTGTTGTTGTTGTAGGTGAATTCAACAGTCAAGACAAGTGAGAGGTTCAAGGAAAAAGAGTAGTCATTTCCACAGAAGTGCAAGCACCCGACAAAAAGGCTGCAAAAGATGCTCCTCGGGTCCTAAGATATACAGATCTAATGCCAATTAAGCGGCACCTTTTGATTGGGGGACAGCATAAAAATGCCTTCTAACTGATAACACAATATGGTNACTTGCAGCTGTTTGATATTTACCCCAAAAAAAGAAAAGAAAGACACATTGTAAACCAATGAGTAGTCCAACTTTTTGAGTATTTAAACTGTAAGCAGAAGAACAAAACTCCCATGTTTACCAACAAAAACAGACTAACCTGCCAGTTTTTAGGTAGAAAGGACAATCAACTTCACCCTGTAAAAGATAAAAACCAGAAGAATGAACTGCTTACTGTGGGTCTCCGAAAATACACCTCTTAGCGTATCTAATTAAGCTTAACAAAAACAGCCAGCTTCAAGTAGCTAAGGTATGGTTATTTTATCAAAAAGAAAAGCCATGGTCCTTATGGATGAATACTCATATTCTCTTCTGCTTTCTCTTCCTAGAGGTTAAAATCTATATTTGCTAATTTTCTTCTTAAAAATTTCTATTTGCTAATTTCTCCAAATAGGAAGTACATTCCAGAAGTACCCGGATCTACAAAATTGGAAACATACTGTAGACAAACACCAGGTAATGAAAATACATGAGATGCTTTAAGATCCTTGGGTCAGCAGTAGGTGAAAAATTAGTTAGCTGATTGTCTTAAGAACAATACGCTCTTCATCACAATAAATCCTCAAAGTCAAATTGAGGTGCCAGGATAGAAATATCACAATATCATAATTCTTTTGTTATAGTAAAATCATGATAATAATTGTCAAATGAAGTAGACAAAAACTGCAGTCTATTAATAGCTATCCTATGACAGCACAAAAGGAACGGAGAAAAGAAAAAGACAAACCAAAAGGCAAACAAAACAAGAAAGAAGCATGTAACACATTCTTACTCAATGAAGATAAACGATAAAATATATGAAGTACCGGTCTAATAGGAAGGCCTTTGGAGTTGTGCAATAAAGCTGGAACAGAAAGCGGCTTGATGAGATTCACATCCTCAGTCATCTCATTATTAGCTGATCCAGGGTTTTCCGCAGAGCCACTTTCTTGCTTTGGAGATGACAATTGTATATCTCTTGGATGGTGAAATTTGCAGGTAGCACCAAATTTACATGCCCCCGTCTTCATGTAAAACTGCCACAGTATGATTTAACGAACTATGAACCAGCAACACATTACATGCATACTCGCACAATCTTAGTAAATACTCACACAATCTTAGTAACAAGTTGTGCTAAAATGAGCAAAAATATTCGCATACCGCGCATGAGGGTTCAGAAGGTCTCTCAGGCAAGACAGAAACATCAGAATTTTGTACAGAACCCTGAGACCGAAGCCAAATTAACAGTTGAAATAAATGAAACTTTATCTTCATAGTAAGAATATAAAAGTTGAGCCTGTGAACCTACCAAATGAGCGGTATTATCTTTGGGGTGGTTGAATTTGCATCTATTACCGAACTTGCATTTTTGAGTCTTCATAAAATACTGGAAACATGTCACCATACAATTAGGCATATTAACAGCACACATAGCTGCAAACACATCAAAGAGTTTTTCTTACTGGACAATCAGGCTCTCCAGGTCTTTCAGGAAGAGATTCAGTTATAACTGGAACCTGCATAGATGAAGTGGAAGAAAACAGCTAGAAACATAAGATGTGATAACAGATTTTACAGACAAGTGGATGCAAATATGAACAGTAAAGGATCTTCTACCAGACAAAAGGGCAATGCCTCTAACTTTCCACAGGGAATGAGAGTCCATGATAATGTAATTAATGTTAAGAACTGTCAAAAGTGCAATGCATGAACCAGCCTGCAAAAGGCCAAGAGCTCGACTATATACCAGCTAGAAGGAATAGACATTTTGGCCTCTGAATCTTTAGCAATTAGCAAGCTGCAAGTGCTAGTCTAGGATTTTTTTTATAAGTGGTAGTTTAGAATTAATTGGGGACTGTGAAAACCTTAAAATGCTTTACATTATCATAATTCAATTTGTAAATGATGAGCATGAGTATCAAGCATGAATTTTGAAACTAGTGGGAAAGAGAATTTCAGCTACCTTGTACATCTAGCATCGTTAAGTGTAAGAAAGTATAAAAGGTATATAAATAGCTAAATAGAGAAGTTGAAAAAAAGTTCATTTCAAGAATTAAAAGTATTTTGAGAATGTCAAAAAATGAAATCACAACATTTTATGGAAAGAGGGACTAGTATTATATTTATGACATTATCATGTAGGTCACCCCAAAAAAAAACTACTCCATCCCATCTTATATAATGGTGTTTGATTGGTTACAGAGTTAAACTGTTAAAGAATGAGAGAAACACTTCCGAAGCTTGTGATCTAAAACAAACTATAGACATTTGTGTGGCTATAAATGATCTCATTAAAGATAAAATGAGAAGTTTAAAATTGAGTTGTTTCTAAATATAGAAAGGTGTCATTCTTTTGGGGCAAAGTAAAAAAGGAAAGTGTGCCACATAAAATGGGACAAAGGGAGTAGGACATGAACATGTAATTATAGACAAAGGCCTAACAAACAAATAGCTACCAATCTTTGTCAACTAAATTACAAATCCTTTTCAACCAAACACACCACCTCGAAGTTGGAAGGAAAGAAAGATATACCAACTCCTAACAACCAAATGAATTTGCAAATACATGACTAATGCCTCCCACACCAACAAGGAAAAAGCACAAATTAGATGGATAGCATTTCAATAGTTCTGTTTTCATAACGTTTAAAGTGTCCTTCACCAATTGACAAAACAATACAGAAAAACGAAGCTATGAGTGCTTGCTAAAGCAAAAGGCCATAAGTTTTTAAAGAAGATACTAAATGTGAAAGCCAGATTTCAAAAATGACAAGGAGTTAATTCACACTTTGGATTATTGGTGTATCACAATATTATGTTTTCATCTAAGCGTGAAAACATAGATATTACAGAAGAATTTGGAATATTTGAGCTCTCTGGAGCTGTAACTACTTTGTAAATTATCTCTTACCCATTTATCCTTGCAAAATAATACCATAGACTATCTGAAGCAAAGATAGAAACAATAAGTGAAAGCTTTTGTCAGTTGAAACTGCCCGCACAAAAAACGACACTCAAAAAACCTTAAGCCATAGAAATTCTCATCAGCCAACTAAACCATTGAAAAACAAGTTGATGTTCTATAAAAAAGAAAACGATTCATCAAAAAAACAATAAACTACTACTGTGGAGGACCAGATATTGTTGTCTTGCAAGTAATACAAAACTATCAATAAAGAGGCCCCCACCAGTCTCTTTAGAGAACAACTAATGATGAAAAGATAAACTAATATGGTGGAGGACCAGATATCCCTCTCTCCCGAGTAATACAAAACTTAAACAAAGAGCGTTGTTCAATCTCTTTGATGTTCTTTTAAAGCCATTATGTGGAACAAAGCATAACTTCCACCATAATGAAACTAGCAACACCCTTCATATACCTCTAACCCTTGTTACTGCTACCAAAGCCATTACTGGGACAAACCTCTAGTGTTTTGTTTTTATTTTTATTTTTAAATTTATGATAAGTCAAATAGGCTTTATTAGTGCTAGCAAATGGAAATCACTTAACTGAAAAATAAAGCACTCCATTAGTTTCATTTTAGGGATCTTTACACAACTAGCCGGCCAAATCCACTTTTTACTTTTCGTCGTCGTTGTAAGTATATTTTACATGATTATACATGGTTATACACCTACTATACATGAATTATACATATGATATGCCGGCTATTTTTACTTTAAGCAGTAGGGTGAATAGCTATTTAGGTTAATTCTTTTTCATTTTAAGTGTCTTATTTAAATTGGCACGAAGTTTAAGAATGTGAAGACAACTTTTACATCTTGTGATTCTAAACTAAAGGTGAGCATAACATACCAAAAATACCCTTTGAATCTTGTGGTCTTATAAATGTCGGGAAATTTTTGTAAGGGAGTATTGCCAAGCCATTATTGGGACAAACCTCTAGGCTTTATTTTTATTTTATTTTTTATTTGCGATAAGTCAAGCGTCTAAGATTTATTAGTGCTACCAAAGCGAAAAAGCTTTACTGAAGTACAAAGCACTCCCTTTGTTTCATTTTATGGGTCTTAGTTTGATCAAGTAAGAAGCATAAAAATGTAAGCAAAACTTTTAAATCATGTGTTTTAAACTAAGGATGTGTTTGGTATGAAGTAAAATATGTTCCACGAAAACTGGAAAATATTTTCTTGGAAATAAGTGATTTTCTTATATATTTTCTAGCGTTTGGTTAGTTAACAGAAATTATTTTTTGAAAAATATATAATCTAGGCAAACACTATGGGAGATGGGGTGAGGGGGTAGGATAGGGCCAGAGGAAAGGGGCCGAGGGAGGAGTGGGTGGTGGGCCAAGGTGGGGGTTGGTTTGGGAGGGGGAGATTTGCCGGGGCGGATTTGGAGAGTGGACGGAGGGTGCCGTGGTGG